ACTCCTCCGTGGCCAGTGCTGCCTTCACTTCCTCCTCCGGTTCCTACTCCTCCATTGCTATTGCTGGCTCCATTTCCTCCTCCAGCTGCACCTTCTCCTTTGCTTACCTCAAATCCTTCGCGGTCTGAAAATTAATATAAAGTTAAATCGTCATAAGGGACGAGATGCAAGCTACTCACAAGTCTGTCGCGGCGTTCTGCGAATCATTTCTCCTTCGTAAATGAGGTCCTTCCACATGGTGTCGGCCATTTCATTGTAGACAAGTCGTGCTGCTAGCAGTTCCTCTTCTATGTTATTCATGACAGTGAAGAGTATAGGCATAGATATTACCTAGAGAGTGAATGAATTGAAAAGAATACAAATGTCAAGGCAATAACGAACCAGGCCGAGAAAAGCGCATCCAGCTAGGAGCGTGGCGAAGTTGACAGAAGTTGTCAGCCCAGAAGTGGATGAGTATCCCATCTGGAAAAAAACATATTTGTTTTGATTGATGTAACTAACTAGACGAGGCATTGTTATTGTACTGCGATGATTGTTCAGATCCACGCTTATATAAGCCCGATTTAGCTAGTAAACCGTATATCTTCGAAAAGATCTAAGTTTGAGCTGGTTGTTGGCGATGCTTAATCGCACACGTAATCCATCACCACTGACCGTCATTACGGCATGAAGCAATAAGGCAATTTGATCTTAATGATGCGATTAGTGAATAGGTAACCCAATCTAACTAATGAAGTGACTATACAATAGAGACTCTCACATTCAATAGCTTTACAAAATTGAACCACAAGCAAAAATACAGAAGGCACAAGCCTCTCTTGATTAGGGCACCGTCCCACACTTCAGGCCGCCATTTAAGATAGTCAAATTGAAATTCTAATCACATCCAAACAGGTGGCCGAGTAACACTGTTATGATTATAAGCCTGTACATAAAAAACTATCACACGCGTACTGTAGCTCTGAAAGTAACTAAGAAAAAACTGAAATAGAATACACTCTTTCATTCTCCCCATTTTGTCATATATACTAAACCTTTTCATAAGTTCGTAGTTTTCGTAGAAAACCAGTGAAATAAGAAGTTTACATCGAAAATAATAATGTTATATTTTTTCAACCGTTCGCCACATTGTTTATACTTTTACTTTTTTTCAGTCGGCAGACCGTTTGGTCCAAAAAAAAAAAACCCATCCAACCAGTACATCAGATGTTCTTTAAGTCGAGGCATTCCAACTTCAATTCGGACTCTACAATCATTTCCTAAAGAGATAGCCCAGATCCTTAGATTTGGCTAGACACTACCCTTGAGATCATCAGCGTGTCCGTGCTAAAAGTATGCAAGTGTAGCGGGTAAGATGAGGACAACAATATCACCCTTATGCAAGGTCTGCTCTTCATCTCAGACTTTTTACATTAGATACTCTTTAGTCCAAGTTTTTTCAGTAATTGCTAACTGCTCGATATAAAACTTGGAATACTCCATAACTATTTACTTTCAGCAGCTTCAACTGATGCGATGTGTCTCCTCGTTGTGCTGACGTATAATGAGTGCAGCTGTCAAACAACTATTTTTTGTTTTCAGTAAAACTGACGTCACGCTATTGATGCATGGGCTTGCAAACAGAATGGAAAGTTCTATGGGAAAGTGATGGAAAGTTCTATGGAAAAGTCATCAAGATCATTGACCAATGCCTATTCAATATCTTGCGATTTGCTCAGCAACAAGAACCATTGTCTACACTTGTTACGTTGTCGACTGTTTCTTTGATTTTCTCGCATTACCCTATGCTGTACAATTCGCATATACTGGTGGTACAATAAAAAAAAACTGATCAAACCAGCTTGAATAAAAGTTTGACAGCAATTATCATAGGGCTTTGTGTAGAACACGGTCTACAAAACTCAATAATACAACAAGTGTTATTTGATTTCTCCACATGTTATGTACTTATGTATTGTTAACTTTTGCCATTTGTGTGACAAATGTGACTTTCCGCATTTGTAGTTACGTATAGCAATTGACTAGCACAGGACTGGTGCCGACGCCAAAGCCTAATGTTACAGCAAAATGCATAAATATTTCTCTGACAAACATTTTCTATGTCAAGCGGTAAGTTCTCGATTACCAACATGTCTATATATCATA